TACACATACTTTCAAGCCGGACGGCCTGGCACCAAACCTTGGTTCCAGTATTGTAGTGGGCTGAATGGTGACCTCCCCCCAAAAAGTATGTCCACCTGGAAACTGTGAATGTATCCTTATTTGGAAAAAGCGTCTTTAGAGTTGTAATGAAGTTAAAGATCCTGAGATGAGACCATCCTGAATTAGGCTGGGCTCTAAATCCAATGATAAGTACCTTTATGAAAGAGAAGGGGAGGGGTGCCCATGTGGCTTGGTCAGTTGGGAATCCAACTCTTGATTTCGGCTCAGGTAGTGATCTCAGGGTCATGGGATCACGCCCTGCGTCAGGCTCAGCAGGGAGTCTGCTTGAGATTCTCTCTCTCCTTCTTCCTCTGCCCCTCCCCCCTCCCTCAAATAAATAAAATCTTTAAAAGACAGAGAGAGAAGGGGAGAAGACACAGGGGGGAAGGTGATGTGCTGGCAGAGACAGAGACTGGAGCGATGTCTACAAGCCAAGAAACACCAAAGATGGCCGGCAGCTACCAGAAGCCAGGAGAGAGGCAGGGCACGGATTCTCCCTCAGAACCTCTGGAAGAAACCAACCCTCCTGATAGGTGATTTCAGACTTCTGGACTCCAGAACTATGAGAGAATGCATTTCTGTTGTTTTAAGTCACCCAGGTTGCAGCAATTTGGTATGGCAGCCGTAGGAAACTCACACAAACATCAGCGCTTACTAAGCTGAATGACCCTGGGGAAATTACTTGGCGTCTTTATGCCTCAGTTTCCCCAGCTGTAAAGCAGAAATTTTAATAACCCCTTAGGACTGTTGTGAGGACTGATAAATGAATGGCATCCTCAGAGCTGCTTTGCACAGCAAGCACGCTATTTATCATTCCTGTGTTCCTCCTCACGAATATACACAGGCAGGTATTGAGAGGCATCTGGGCAATATCTCTGAGTATCAAGATCAAAAAAATACTTTTTTCTGTTGTGCTTCTCTGTGTTTTACAAATTATGTACAAGAAATGTGCATTATGCATCAGTTTTATAGTCAGAGGGCATTTATGAATTTTAAATGATCATTTTATTTATCCTGATAAAAGGCTGCCTCTCTGCAAGCTCATCTTCAGATAAAAATTGCTGTGCTACATTTCGCAGGGATGGAATATTTAAACAACATGCACGTTAGCAGGAGAAGTAGCCCCGGAGAAACAGCGATGTGATTATTAATACCTGAGAACTCGAGTGCACAAATTGTTACAAGTAAACTACTCCTTTGGAAGTTGAGAGGCTCTGAAAATTGCTTCCTGTTGCCTAGCACAAGGAAGCCTGATTTCTTGGTATATGTGTTTCTCTTTCCACACTAATAGTATTTCTACAAATAACAGCGTGAAACTTCCAGGTTTCTTATTACGGTCTTTCTGTCTTCTGAGTTTAGGAACCGCCTGTCTCCTCTTCAGATATCTAGCTTTTCACTGTAAGCATTACACAGTTCTTTAACGGACCCATGTCTCTTTGGAAAAACACTATTTTTGTAATGAAGTACTTCACCTGACCCAATGACCCCTGACTGAAGGCTTATTGAGGATGAGAATGTAACACAATATACAGTACAAGAGAAGGGACACAGAGAAGAGTGTTGACCAGCCATCATGATGAGGTGGAAAGGCACTGATGCCTATGGGCTCTCCAGGGCCGAGAGAACCAGAAGCTTTTCATCCTCAGCAAAACTGCCATCCTGGCCCAACCCTTGGTAGGTGGGTGCAAAGGTCTTTTTAATAAACACCAAAAAATACACCACCTGCAAGTTGTTATCAACAGGAACTTCCTGTCACGTGGAGTAGGTTATATTTTAGCACAGTGGAAACGGAGGGTTTGCTGAGTTAACCTTCTTGCTCAAGTTCACCTTCCACTGAGTGCAGGACTGGGGCTACTACAGGTAGGTGAAGACAGTTCACTTAATCACACTTTCGACTTGAGGGGAGGGGTTGGCAGTCCCCTCCTTCGTCAAGCATGGTCACCGGGTGTTTGCTGGGAGCCTGGGGGGGGGGGGGGGCGGTGCACTGCACCCATGCTCCGGGACACCTCTCCCGGCGTCACTTTCGCGGTGAGAGCCCCGCTTGGTTCCTTGTTTAAGCCTCTGGCACTGTCCACCCACTCCCCTTCCTCGCTGCCATATCCGTCCCTTCAGCCTGGGTTCCTCATTGCCTCAGGGCCTCTGATGACTAGGATCAGTGCATGCCTGTCCTTCTCTCTACCGATTCCTCAGTGGACTTTTTTGTCTAGTGATTTTTCCCGAAGTATCTATAAGCAGGACAGATTGGAAATTTAAAAAAAAATAAATAGAAAAGAGGAGGGAGGGAGGGAGGGAAGGAGAGACAGAGACAGAGACAGAGGTAACAACCAACAAGTTTATAACCATAAGGCAGTACTCAAGAAACAGGCCTGGTGCTCTTGCTGTCTTCACTGCCCGTGGTTATTTGGTCTTGTTCCCCAGCATTCTCTTTGTATTCCTGGGGTCCCCCACCATGTCCTCAGCCCTCTTCCCTTTGGTGGAAACCCTGCAGACCCAAACAGAGTTCCCAAAGGTTTGACAAAATCCATTCCATCTCGGGAGGAACCTCTCCCTGTTCAGCTATCTCTGATTCTCGTCCTGGTCCCACCAACTCTGCCCCCTGCGGCCCCATCTCCTTGTTGGTTCCTTGTCTTTCTGCCTTCTAAGTGTGGATGTGTTTTACGGAGTCTCAAGCTTCCTCCAGAACCTCCTGCTAAGTCTGCCCCTTGAACCTTCATGTCTAGACTTGATTTCTCTCCTGAGCTCCAGGCATCTATATCTAGCCGCGTCCTGGATATTTCCACAACTGTGTTCCAATAGCAACTTAAATAAAAAATACACAAACACGGAACTCATTATCCATTTCCCTGAACTTGCCTCACACCCCCCAAGATCTCAGTATTTGCTAAAGCATCAACAGCCTCCCACTGACCAAAATGGATACCACCAAGTCACCTTCAACTTCCCCTCCCTTGCACCACACTTGGATTCACTTGAGTCAATCTTCATGTCTCCTTCAGTAACCTACTTTGTTACTCTCCCTTTGTTTCCAGCATCCCGAGTCCAGCTCTTCTTGGGTGGGCTGCTCTGACAGGCTGTTAACTGTTTTTCCTGTCCTCCCCCACAGCTTTTCCCCATGGCTTCCAGAATATCTTCCTGACAAAGCTCTGATCCCACTCGCTGGTATTCAAGGCCTTGTACGATTGGGCTTCTATTCCATTCTTTCATTTTCCAACCTTTATTCTATATGTGCTGTTAAAGTTTTTAGACAAGGGGGTGGCTCTAATGTCTTGGAGGGCTACGTAAGCAAACCAAAGCCTAAGCCAGAGTCAATGCACTTGAATCTGAGAAAGTGAAGGTGAAGAGCAACCAATCACAAATAGCCAACTGGGTTTCCCCAAACAAGGCAGCCACTTGCACTATAGCCAGTCAAATAGTGGCTTTGCTTCGCTTCAGCATCTTCTCTTCGGAAACCCTGCCCCCACCTCCTGTCCTGGCAAGCTCCTAACCACCTTTGGGTTGACACCCTCTGACGTGAATCGGTGTACGCTCAAATAAACTCTTGAAATTTTTAATGTGCATCGGTTTACCTACATGACAGTATCCTACACTCTTGGTTGTGGAAATCGCTCCATATTCTTCACATGTGCCCTATAATTTCTGGCTTCAGTGCCCTTGCAGATCCTGTCCTTTCAGCCGGCAATGCCCCTTTTCTCCCAGCGTTGGATTTCCAAACCTTCCTGTCTTTAAAAATCACCACTGTCTAGATTCTCAAACCCCAGCAGCAAATGAGCTATTTGCCCACCGACCCATCTGTAGCATTTTTATTTCTACCTCTCTTACGACTCACAACATCTGAGCCTGTGCCATGTCCCCGATTAGGCACGTCTGGCAGGGGAAGGCCCCCATCGGATTCAACTTTGAATCTTTGTGCTGCTGTACCATCCATGTCCAGGGTGGGCAGGTCTCTGCCAATAACCAAACGAATGACTCTGTGTCCTCAGGAACAGCCCTCTCCATCAGACCTCTACTGAGGACCATGACAAATGCCTAAGAAGACAACAACTTGGTTTCTGCCCTCCAGGAGCTTATAGCTCATAGAGATTAGGCTAACATATGCTAATTGATAAAAAGCAATGGAAGATAAAGAATAGGATTACTATATACGTTCTATTAAGTCAGAAAAGAGGCTCCTTTTTATGAAATGACATTGGATCTTAGTAATAGGTTTATTTTGGATGGGTGAAAAGAAGGGCCTTCTGGGTGGAGGGAGTAATCAGATTAGGACAGCCAAAGGCATGGGGAGAAGGTCCTAACATTCACCATGTCCCACTCCCGCTAGGATGTGGGCTCAGTGCCGTGAATGCATTTTTTCATTTAATCCTATAACAATCCTACAAAGCAGACAGCATCAGTTCCAATTTTACAAGTAAGGAGGCTGAGGCTCGAGGGGATTAAGGAACTGGCCAAGGTTATACAGGATTAGGTGGCAGAGCTGGGGTTTGAAAAAGGCAGTCTGCTTCTGTGGCACCACGCTGCCTCCTCCAGAGCAAAACACAGAACTATCACTGGGTGTTTTCTCGAGGAAGGGGGACTCTTTGCACTGATGAATCACTCAAGTCGTAGAGCAAGAAGCACAATGTGTAATATGTGTAGGGCTCGGTACAACACAGGCGACTCTGAATGCAAGTCTGTCCATCTAGAAAGAAAATCGAGAAGGCTCTTCAATGAGATGAGAGTAGTGTGGGGAGAAATGATTAGGGAGGGCATCCCTAGAATGGAGGGGTGTCTCCAGACTAGTAGACAGAACAAAGAAGGGACACAGGCTTGAGTATGGATTAGTATCACCCGTCCCAGCCTACTTCCATTACAAAGGAAGAGAAATAACCCAACTGAACATAGATTGGTTGTAATGAACACCCATCCTCAGAGGTGATAAGAGACAATGATGGCAGGAGACATACTTGGTCTCGTTGGCACATCGGATCTTGCAGCCTTCCTTGGGAATCACCAAGCCCAGGTGCATTCGGAGCCTGCAGTTGGTGGGCCCCGTGTGTGGCCACACGTGAGTTCCTGGGTGCATGATGGAATATTTGATCTGTGCAGAAAATATAACAAACTGGTCATCCATTTATCGAGGGGTGGAGGAAGTGCTAAATTAAAGTTACAGGATAAAACTATGTCAATTTGAATTTGAACCTTTGTAAGGCTTAGAATTTATATTCTCGTCTTATTTCTTAGATAAGGACTCTCATTTTCCACCAAGCGATAAACACTGAACACTTCCCGCCCTCAATTCTGACACCAACCACATGAAATTATGTTTCATTAAAGAGAGAGTGAAAAAAGACGCCTTCGTTGGACCAAATAACAGTTTCTTTATAAAGGTCAGCACTCCCTTATTCCTAATAATGAACTGTGTTCTTCCCATCATTGAAGACATGCTTGGTACCTGTCCTCTTCTGCATCCTGTTGTCTCAGGAAATTTATCTAGTAAAGAACAGGTTTTAGGAGCTCCTTTACAGGCATTTTCATTTTTTCTTCCTAGAACGAGACATGATAAAATCATTGTTAGAAACAAATCACAGTAAAACTTTAACTCGTCCCGTTTTGACCAGACACAATCTGTATTATCATCCTCACTAGGAATGAGAAAGCTAAGCAAACACAAGAAGACAAAGTATAACAGACAGTGACTGGCAAAGACCAGAAGTCTCTACTCACTATTGGACTATTTGACTAAGGCTGTCTAATGGACAGGGTGAGTGTTGAATACTTATTCTTCTCCCCGTGACAGGTAGAATAATGCCCCCCAACCAAGGTGTCCATGTTGTAAGCAGGAGCCTGTGAATAGGTTATGCTATATGGCAAGGGGAAATAGAGGTTGCAGATGACATTGAAATTTCTAACCAGCTGACCTGAAAACAAAGAGATTATCCTGGATTAACTGGATGGGCCCCATGTAATCAGAGTCTTTCAACATGGAAGAGGGAGGCAAAACAGAGTGATAGAATGAGACAGACTTGACTGGCCATTGCTGGCTTTGAAGATGGAAAGCAACTGCAAGCCAAGGAATGTGGGCAGATTCCAGAAGCTGGAACCTCCAGATGAAATAGATCCCTGAGGACACTCTGATTTAAGCTCAATGAGACCGCTATAGACTTCTGACCTCCAGAACTGTAAAGATAATACATTTGTGTCATTTTAAAGCCACTAAGTTTGTGGTAATTTATTAGAGCAGTCATAGCAGACTCCCTAAGGAAAAAACAGCTTCTATTTCAAACCTAAAAATGCATTTCTAGGACTATATCAAAGAGTCACCTCAACATTTTTAACTGGGATTTAATGTATTTTTCATTGTACAGATCATACTTCATATGTTGATAAAGTATAGGATTTAAATGAAAAGGGGAAGAAGTATCTGAGAGATGATGTTTTCTATGAGTGACTGTTTTGGGAACACAGATTTTGGGGCATCGTCTTAAACATCCTGGACTATGCAAATTTCTTCACCATCAATAGAATAACTGTGTCTTAGGGAAGACATGCTCAGAAATGTACATAGCATTATTTGCTCTTATGTAGGAGTAAAATAATGGGTTTTTTAAAAGATAGAAAAATTTTAATTCCCTATTCAAGATTCTTACAAGGGGCTGGTACCTCCAAAGCTGAGTTTAATTTTATTTAGTAAATGTTAGTTGTGTCCTAAGATAATCATACACTGAGAATAAAATGAGAGTTACAAGGAATGCAACTTAAAGGTATTCTCCTCAAACGGACCTCAATATTTTAGTAAACAACCTCTACAGGTATATTAGCTTTTCCTAAGTAATCTCTTTGCCCCTTGAGTAAAACGTTAGTTGCTGTTCTTAGTGATTAATGGAGTATCCCAAGTGAGCTGAATGATAAATGCCAGTTTGATAATGATAAATGCCAAATAGATCCTGTATACATCATCACAAAGTATTTTTAAGCCCAGCTTCCCATGCCTTCCCTTATGCAGCATCTGGAGATGGCTTGGCAGGAGTCCCCAATTCTGGGGTCTGGGCTGTGCAGGCAGCAGTTACGGGAAGCCTGGAGGCTTGAGGAGGAACCAGAAGTGGCTGGACTTCCCACAGGCACAGCTGAGCACGTGCTCCTGAGAGAACAGGTGTGTTGTACCTTAATGAATGGGTAACCTAAGGGGCTGGGTGTCACTAGGACTGCTACTTGGTCAGGATTAAATTAGAGAGAGCACCTCTAGCCATTTAGACACATAAATCTTTTCTAGTCTTGTAAACACATATTCTCTATAGGGGGAAAAGCTGTGTAGTAGATGCTTGACATTCGTGGATTACCACAGGTAGCTTTAAGGTTTCGCACGTGACGGCAAGGATTTAGGAACACAACAACGGGGGCGCCTGGGTGGCCCAGTCGGTTAAGTGTCTGGCTTCGGCTCAGGTCATGATCTCGGGGTCCTGGGACTGAGCCTTGCGTTGGGCTCCCTGCGGGGAGTCTGCTTCTCCCTCTGCCCTTCCCCCAACTTGTGCTCGCGCGTGTGCTCTCTCTCTCTCAAAAATGAATAAAAAAATTTTTTTGAAAAGAAAATAACCCAAGACCTTTAAAAATCCCAACTCCATGAATATTTCTTACAAGTGTATCACATGTAAATGAAGTATCCAATTGATTCTTCCAAATCTGCATTGACAGAACTTCTTCTAGGGCCATCTTCCCCAAGAAACAAAGTCGATCACTTCTTGAGAGTTACTTTAAACTTGGTGAGAAATAATAAAACAACCATAAAGCCACCCTGAATTCAGCTGCTGGACAGTTTCCTCCTCAGCTGAGAATTTGCTCCTCACAGCTGCTTTCTACCCCATGATGTGACAAAATGATAAATTACGCTTTAAAGCCCAGGTTTGGGAGACCAACAATCCCAGGTTGGAGGCCTGGCTGCACCACTTGTTAGTTGTGTGATGAGAACGTGTTTCTGAATCTCTGCGCCGCAGATCCTCATCTGAAAAAGGACAATGAAATTAGGGCCTCAAGTAGAGGGTTGTTACTGGGATCAGTGAGTACTCTCGAAAGATCTGATCCAGTAGATGATAATGGTACTACTTTATTACAAAATGATCATATGTTATATAATAATAACAGTAATAGAGGGGTGGTGGTCTTAGGTCACGGGTACTTAGGTCATGGTTAAGAACATGGAGTCTGGGTCCAGTTTGGCTGGGATTCCTGCTGTGCGACTAATTGTGTGACTTCTCTGTGCCTTGGTTCCTCTTCTCTAAAATACAACACTCATAGCACCTCCCTCACCAGATGCTGTAGGCATCAGATGAGTCCTTTTAAGTATGTCAAGTGGTTCCTGGCCCACGGTGAGCACCATGGAACTGCTGTTGCATTCCTTTTTTTAAAAAAATATTTTATTTATTTACTGAGAGAGAGAGTGAGTGAGAGACAGCACAGGCCAGGGAGGGGCAGAGGGAGAAGCAGACTCTCCGCTGAGCAGGGAGCCTGACACGGGGCTCAATCCCAGGACCCAGAGATCATGACCTGAGCTGAAGGTAGACGCTTAACTGACTGAGCCCACCCAGGTGCCCTTAAAGGTCTTGGGTTGTATCTTTTTTAGTTTCAAGGCTCTGCTGGGAAAACAGGGTCATCTTGCTTGACAATTCTGATCAATCGACAGTGGCTACCTAGAACACTGTTGAGAAGGATTCAGAGGTTCAGCTTGAGCTCATCCAGAAAGGCTACTGAGATTGTTTAGCACCATCCTTTATGGGCTCTGGAAGAAAGAATGACTGCATCTGTATGGCATATTGGCTAACTATGTATTTTAGTGTTCATTGTTGGGGATAATTAATAAACTTGGGCAGAATAGATAATCCATAACATTCACTTAGCAATTTGAAAACATATTTGTAGGGAAAAACTATCATTTACCTGTGTGGATTCTTTTTTCTCCAACTCAAAAAAGTTGACCATTTAAAAAGGAATAAATATTCTTCAGTCCTGATTATGTGACCGGGAGACCCACCATGATTCCCACTACCATTTGGAGAAAAATGAAACTTCCAGCCACAGCTTTTAAGGCCTTCAGCTCTCTAGCAGCATCCTTTCCTAACTAGGACTACACAACCTCTACGTAACTACATCAGATACTCATCAGCCTCTTTGGCCAGACCTGAGCTCTTAGCGTGGCTAAGAAACTGTCGTGTTGCCTCTCTTCCTCACTCTTCCCCGCAGCCCCTCTTGCCACAGGATTCTCTCTGCAGTTTCTGAGCCACAGCACCTAAGAGAGCATCTGCCGTCAGGGATCCCATCCTGCTTCTATGCAAGCTATGGTACTAGTTGTCTTCAAAATTCTTTAAACTATGGATTTGCTTCCAGAAGACAGTTACTGGATTCCTCCCAGAAGCCTGGAACCACCAACAGAAGGCCACAAAGAACTTTAACGAAACTTCCTAAAAGAGAAACTATGTGACTTCTATTCTCTTATGACTAAAAAAATTAGAAATTCATTTCTATTTAATTAACTGCAACTAACTGGAAAACATAAGCTTATGATAGCCCCCGCCTGAAATACACACACAGCTCAATCATTTTGAGTCAAAATGGAAATCAAGATAGAAATGCAGTCGTTTCCTGGAAATAATACAAATGAAAATATCATACGTTACAGCTTAAGGAATATATTTTGCCACAATTAAAACTTTTTTAAAAACATGCAAAAATTTAAAGTCAAAATGTTGCCTTCAACCAAATCTTGTCTCCATTATTTATTTTCTTACTTGCTTAATACTTTTATGTGCCCTATAAAGCTTTGCAGATTTCAACTTTATCAAAGCACCTGTTGTTAGCAGAGACTATGGTTCTGGAAATTACTGCCAGGATGCCTGCTATTCTGCAGCATTGTCCTAGGAAGCATAAGGATGCGAGTGCATAAGGATGTTAATGCAACTGAGGCATCAGATGAACTCCTGAATGCATGCTTGAGGCCAAGAGAATTCATGCATTTTAGTGAGACTCTTAACAGATAAAATTAGCATGTTGTTCACCTATTGACCTTGTAGCTCCCTTAAAAAAATCTTGTTGGCAAAAAAGCTGACAGTCACTAAAAATCATGTGATGTCTCCTCTGATGGACGTATCCTTGAAAGTATTACTGAAGTAGCTCTTCTATCTCTTATGAGCAAACCATTCTGAAAGTGTATGTGAGATAAACAACTGCTTATTTGTCCTTTAATGTAAACTCACTGCTTGTCCTCTCAATGTATTTGGTATAGCTGAATATGCGCAACACGTACTGTTTAGTCTTCAAAATGCACTTATTTTTGGATAGCTATTGTTAACCCAGGTTGACGCGATTTTTCAAGAAGAGAATTGGAAAGAGCCTTAAAGCTAAAATCCAATGCTCCTCATTTTCAGGATACATTGATATATTAATTCATCGAACACACACATACTGTGCCCAACCTGGGTTCAGCCCAAGGAATGTTAGGTTGAATGTGAGCCACTTCCTATTCTTGAGGAACGCAGACCCTAATTATCATTGCCTGTCACTCTGGTGTCTTATCATCTCCAACCCATGGTGACCTCATTTTGGCGGGCAACACTGTCTCTATGCTACGGAGCAAATGAGGCTCAGGGGAGGTCCTTTCTAAGATAGTGATTAGCACATGGTGGGCTTTTTGGTTAAGCCTACACAGTACGGTTACTTTTTGTAACTTATCATTTAATGGGAAACACCAGGAAAATCAAAGTATTATTTATATATATTTATCCAAATACACATGTGAGTATACCTACATACACACACACATATATATTTACATGTGCACACACACACACAGATAAGTGTTCACATGTAGTTTTAAGAAACGACAGATTTCGATAATATATTTTTTCTGGGCAATTTCCTTTAAGTTGGGGAATTCCAGCTCTGGGAAGTATCTTGGGAAGACTTGAGCCTTCTTCCCATCAGGTCATTCACTGGCTGCAGAGAACAATCTAGAAGTCAGAAGCTCACCTTGCTGCCACAGTGTAAACTGGCTCCAGTCGCCTTTCTCCCTCAGGTTTTCATCTTCAGGCAGGAAGAGGCCTTTGGCTTTATCCATCACTGCAAGGCCTTCATCCCGGATTAACTTCCAGTTTCTTTCTAAGGACTAGAGGGAAGATTCCAATTTTACTGAACTGGGCATATGCCTGGTAGTCATTATGATGACTCAGCTTTTTGTTTGTTTATTTGATTAATAAAGTAATGAAATCTGTGCTCTCATCTAGATTGCTTACTTCAATTTCCTCTGGGACTTCTTGTCAAGGGTTTAAAAAAGCCCTACTGTTATTTTTGAGAACTCAATGCCTTTGCAGCATAAAAATGTCAGTAATTCCTCAGAGAATAATCCCCTCCAAAAATTAGTTTTATATTTGGCTAAAGGTTGTTTGTTGTTTTTTTTCAAAGATCACAAGTGAACAAGAGTATTGCTCTTGTTGATCATATTATATCAGTACATTACAGTATGCTCCATGCGACCCCCCCCAACACGCAAAGAATACACATCAGGGACTTCATTTCATCTTTCAAAAGAGGTCCTCATGAAGATGCCATTCAATGTGGTAAACTGTAATTACATTTCAAAGACATGGGAAAAGTGCCCTTGGGAACATTTGATGAATTATAAAGTTAACAGCAAAACAAAGCAAATAAATGCCCAGGTGTTTAGAATTCAGCCAAACAAAAATATTTCTGACTTCTCCTTTACGAGGGTGCTTTAGCCCCTGTCGGAAAGTGGGCTTAAGACCAACAGAGCCTTGGAGTGGCCAGGCAGATGCTGGTAGATGTGTGGAAGGAGCATTCTGAAGCTCTCGCCTCCAGGTCATCCTCATTACCACACTGTGATGCTGATGAGCGTGGGAGCAGAGGGGAAAGCAGGCGAGGGCGAGCTTCTGGAGTGGTGAACTGAGAGGTACTACTCTGAGGAAAAAAGAACAAAACCCGTTTTCCTACAGTATGCTGAGACTAATTAATTGTACAGATTACCCAGGATTTTGAAATGTTAATAATGCCAAACATTTCTATGTTAAGCAAGAGATGGATGGAATAGTTGAGTATATGGGTACATGGAGAGGGAGGTGCACATTACCTGGTTTCAAGAGTCAGGGCTCAAGAGCAGGGCACTAGAACTGGTGAGTTACAAACAAAAAGAAAGATTTTGACAGACAAAAAAATAAAAACAACAATTAGCGCTCCCTGAAAGTGGATTAAGGTGCTGTGTACAACACGGCTCTCTATCTTTTGAATTAATCAAGCGAAACTGGTTGACCCATTATTGGATAGAGCAAAGCATGAGATAATGTGTGAAGTGTTTTTCTTTTTTACCAGCCCATGCTTCATGAATTCATGATTCCATGTGGGAAAAGCAATAAGGAGCCAAGAGAGCTCTGAGAGACAGATGCCCTCAGAGATTTGTGTGAAAACATGGTGCCAACTTCAGCCCAGCCCAGGGAACATTTTTTATATTAGGTGACAACATTAGGTTTATTAAGATATTCTAGGGCCAGACATACATTTTAAGATTAGATACTGGTTTTCTACTTCTTCTTTTCCCCTTCATTTCTTTGAGTCTACCGGTTTATTTCCTTTTAAAATGTCAGCTTGATTGAGGTATAATTGACAAAATTCTAAGATCTTTAAAAGCGTACATTGTGGTGATTTGATATGCGTATACATTGTGAAAGGATTTCCCCCATCTGGCTCATTAACACATTCATCACCTCACAAATTTATCTTTCATTTATTCACTTTTAAATTTTTCTGTTGAGAACACATAAGTTCTACTATCTTAGCACATTTTAATTATACAATACAGCATTATCAACTATAGTCACCATATTAAAGAAATCCTCAGACTTTATTCATCTTATGGATGAAAAGTCTGTACCTTTTACCAACTTCTCCCTAATTCTTTTACTCCCCGCCCTACCCCAACCCTGGCAACCACTCTTCTACTCTCTGTTTCTATGAGTTTGACTTTTTTTTTTTTTTTTTTTTTAATTTAGATTCCACATGTAAGTGATACCATACAGCATTTGTCTTTCTGTGTCTGGCTTATCTCACTTAGCATAATACCCTCAAGGTCCACCATGTTGTTGCAAATGGCAGGATTTCCTTCTTTCTCAGTTGAATAATATTCTCGTGCGCGTGCACTTGTGTGCGTGTGTGTGTGTGTATTTATGTCTTTATATACCACATCTTCTTTATCCACTCATCCATTGATGGACACTTCAGTTGTTTCTATGTCTTATTGTGGATAATGGTGCAATGAACACGAGAATGCAGACCTCTCTTCAACATCTCATTTTCATTGTCTATACCCAGAAGTGGGATTGCTGGGTCATGAGGGGGTTCTATTTTTAATTGTTGAGGAAACTCCATATTGTTTTCCACAGTGGCTACACCACAGTGGCTATGGATTTGATGCTGCTATTTCTGTGAGACCCACCTATTGATTCGTGTCAAAAGCCACAGCCCCTGCTACCATCACACTGATTTATGCTGCTGCTGGTCATCAGTAATTTCAGTATTATTTCATCCCAAGTAGGTAATTCATACATAGCAAGTCAAAGACAGAATTCCAATAAAAAGACACTCAAAAGCCTTCACTTTGGCAGGTCCCCTGAATGACAGAATATGATGGTTTTTTCCAAGAATCCCAAGATTATGGAAAAGAAAAAAATGCACCCCATATATTCACATCTCAAAAGTACCTAAATTGCCAACACTCCTTGTGGCTATTGTAATTTGTCCAAGTTGATAGATAAATCTGTTAGATTCGTGTTAAGTTGTCACACAGATGAGGGGAGAATTACCTTTCTAACACATGAAATTACTTTTCAAATGAGGTCACTGGAGTCTTACACAGCAGGCTCTTCCCTTCTTCCCTCCTGGTATTTTAGAAGTTTCTTTCATTTCTTTTGAAAGCTGATGTTAGGAGCATCTTTGCAAAGAGCTGATCTTTTGTTAGGAAAACAGGGCACAAAGCCCTAAGGAAAATGTTAACGTGATTGCATCACTAAATAAAATCTTTACAATTTTTCTTAGGAGCAGACTCTTACCAGAGAAATGAGTGCACTTGGATTTGTTTTTGGTTTGTTTGTTTTCAACTTTGGAAAGATTCGGCATGGTCTCTTTTATGGACATCACGGAGAAATCTGGGATGGGACCTGGGAATTTTATTTTTAAGCATAAACCAAGGAACCACATTGTATAAAATTCATATGATTACAGGGGATTAAACCTCAAACCTAATTACATAGGGTGTGTGTGTGTGTGTGTGTTTGAAAGAGAGAGAGAGAGTATGAAGAGCTGGAGGGAGGAAGGGATCGGATATGAATCCTTTCTACAGTAATACCACTCAGATGTCTGGGATGGCAAAAAATTTCCATTTCTTAGTAAATTCCAACAGGAACTTGAAGGCTCACACAGAGCAGGCCATGCCTACCTTTTTAAAGGTCTCATCTAAGATTCTACTTCTTTGGCCCTAAATACACCCATTTCATAAAACTGAAAAAAAGAAGCCGATAGGGTTGGTATTTGAGTTGATTGCTGGGAAGACAACAGCTTCTAATTCACATTTCTCCTTGTGGCAGCATAGATTTGTTTTTACGGTGCCACATGGCTTCATAAACCCATCATGAGCACTTGTCTTTTGTTGAACCTCAGCTATACTTGGCACTCTAGCCAGCTCTAATCTAAGTGGAGTTCCCAGCTTCAAGCTTCATTAATCCCACAACACATTACAGTTCTCTTTACTCCAGACCTCCCAATCAGTTGACAAGGTCCTCACTTCCCAGATATTCTGCTCATTCACTTGGATGCTATGCTTTTCTCTTCAACATCAAGTTACATTAGGTTTATTTTTAAACCCTTCTCCTAAAACTGACTTCTTGAAGAAAGTCTTGAGGGGAGCAAACTAAAGCCAAACTAATTCTTATAGTTAAATTGTTAAATTTCCCTTTCTATTTTCACTCAATTAAAAGTACATATTTTTAAAATTCTACTAATACTACAGGTCTTATAATAAAAGCAGCAGTCCCTCACTCAATTCTTTCCCAATCCTGAGTCCAACCCCAGTTAATCGCTTTAAACACCTCTTCTGCTATTTATCTGCTTCTATCTAAATACTATGTTTATGCCGCTATTTCTTGATTTATTCCATTCTAGACATTATCACTCACCTTTCTCTTAGGGAAGGTAACAAGTTAACAATTTGATGTCTTCTTTTCCCTCTTCTCAATCTTGCTACAGTTAAATTCACAAATCTTTCATACATCTGAGTAAATTCACATTCGGTATCATCCGCACTTGAGTTGTACTGTGATAATGACCCTTCATTCCACATTTCTGCCCCCTTTTCTTCTTCTTTTTTTTTTTTTTAAAGATTTTATTTATTTATTTGACAGAGAGAGAAAGCATGAGCAGGGGGAGTGGGAGAGGGAGAAGCAGGCTCCCCACTGAGGAGGGAGCCCAATGCGGGACTCGATCCCAGGACCCTGGGATCATGACCTGAGCCGAAGGCAGACGCTTAACGACTGAGCCACCCAGGCGCCCTCTGCCCCCTTTTCTTTGACTTCATTTTCTAATGCACTTACAACTGTTTCTTCTTTACAGCACTGAAAGGCTGATACAAAATCTCTTGATACTATTCTACCCCTTGCCAAAAACATCAGATAAGCCATTACTTTCTTTCTTTCTTTTTTTCTGAAGATAATACTGCAGTAGCCACCTGCCTTGCTTTGATCTGGACCAGCTGCTGTCTGAGCATGCTGGGCAAGCATCATCAGGGAACTGCTCTCGGCTTTTGCCCTGGAGTGGTCTTCCTAATTATTGCATTCTAGTTATTCCCAAGAAAGGACACAGCACAGGTAACACTAAATTTCTGAAAATATCTGAAGCTATACTTACACCTGATTGAAGGCTTGCCTGTTCACAGAATTCTACATAGGAAATACTTCCTCCTGAGAATTTTGAAAACAATGCCACATTGTATTACAACTTTTAGTGTTGCTGTTGGGAGATCTGACCTTTTATATTCCTTTTTGGGGGGGGTCCTTCAGAAAACATTATAGAAGTCAGTATAGTGTAGTGGGTATGGAGCTAGATTGC